GCTGTCGTGGTGCGTGCTGATCGGGAGACCACACTGGCCCGACTCTGCCCAGGTCCTGTGCAGCCTGTGGTCATCAGCGCCAGGCCCCCCTCACTCCTGCACTGAGGGGGTGGGTGCGCAGCCCCTATTCACAGCCCGGGGACCGCAGGGAAGCTGCCCTCTGACTCCCAGCACGGAGGCTGGTGCCCAGGCCCTGACCCACAGGCCAGGGCAGCATGTTAGGGGCAGAGAGCGGGGGGGCCACGAGGAGAGCACCAGTGGGGACACCTGCAAGTGAGTGTCACCTGGCTGCTGTCCCCTCCCTCCTCCAGACTCCACACACAGCTGCTAAGGGGAGTCAGCCAGCCCCTGGAGGAGGCAGGCGACTGCTCTGGCTGGGGAGGCTGCACTTTACCCAGATGCTTCCATCTGCCACCAGAGGGCCCCCGGACAATGCCTGCTCTGCAGGAGTGCACTCAGGAGGGCTACGGTCAGGTCTGACTCCAGGTCTGACTTGGGGGGCTGTCCCCTCCTGGAGAATGCACTTCCCCACTTGCAGGGGCTGCGCTCACAGCCTCTACAGCTCTGGTCGAGGTGCGCTCAGGGCGGCACTCCCAGCACAAGGAGGCCCACCAAGAGCAGCAGACAGCCCCTGGCTGGGTCCCCCTGCTGCTCCCGGGGTCCCATCCCCACCCTCCCCAGGGCTGGCCCCAAGGACCGGAGTGAGGGGACACACCCTCCCATCCCTGGGGATCCTCCCAGGCCTCTGCTCACTGGGAAGAAAGCGCTTCCGGTGACAACTGCCGGAAACTAGTCAATCAGCCAAGTTAATGGGAGGCTCAGAGTCCCCACACCATTCCCAGTCATGAGACGGCTCTAATTTTAAAATGGCCAACTCACCCCCCTTACAAATTAGCCCATGTTCTTTAAGACAATAGACTCCAGGTCTGAGAATGCACAGGGGATCCATCCCCCGACCCAGCGGCCATCCGTCACCCCTGTGCCCCCCGCCCCTGCCCCTGGCACAGAGGACGCGGGGGCAGAGCATGTGCCCTGCTGGTCTCGCTCTCCTATACCAGACCCGAGCCAGCGAACACGCCGGGCGCCCACCCGTCTGTCAGCTCCCATGGAGCCCGCCCCCGTACGCGGTGAATTTAGACGGACAAGACACCACTCCCACCCTCTGGCCAAGGAGACAAACCAAGGAATCTGATACAAACAATAACAATAAAACTTACACCTATCAAGCACCTACTATGCGCCAAGCAGCAAAGAGGCACCGGGGGCCCTCCAGTGTGCCCAGCCCAGCTACGTGGCCCACCAGTCACGCTGCGAGCACAGCCCCACACCGGAGGAGAGCAGTGCAGGGCAAGTCCCCGCCTGCTACGGGGCCACCGGCGGTTGCTGGGACACTGCCCATCTCCATCCTACGTGCTCCAGCAAAGTCACGGCCCCGGGGGTTCTCACCAGAGCACAGTTTCACCTGCGTGTCACCACACGAACACTGTGCTTGGCCACAAGCTGAAGCACCTTAGCGCTCAGCCCTGGCTCCGCAGGCCCTGCCGGTCTTGCTGCCTGTACCTGCTCCCTGCAGACCACAGAGGGGACCCCTCAGGACTCCCCTGAACTTCCAGACCCTTCCTGCCCCTGCTCCTTGGTTCTCTTTGTCTGGAACACCCCAAGCCCCACATGTCCTCTCTTACAGGTTAAATTGTGTCCCTCAAAATGACACATTCAGGTCCTGACTCCCAGTATCTGTGATGGTGGCCTAATATGGAAATCGGGTCTCTGCAAATTTAATCAAGCGGAACCGAGGCCACACTTGACAAGGGTGGGCCCTGTAACTGGTGTCCCTGTGAGAAGAGGGACACTGGACAGAGACACACACAGGGAGACAGCCACGTGGAGATGGAGGCAGAGAAGGGGTGATGTGTCTACAAGCCAAGGAGCTCCAAGGACTGTAGCAACCACCAGAAGCCCAGAGAAGAGCGCGGTACAAGTCGTCCCTCAGAACCCCAGAACGGAACCACCCTGCCAGCACCTGCGCTTTGGACTTCTGGCCCCCAGACCTTTAAGACAGTACCTTTCTGCTGTTTGAAACCACCCCGTTTGTGGTTCTCTGTTATGGCAGAACTCATCTACCTATCCGAGGCACCCCTGCTGACAGAACCAGTGTCACAGACGCTCCAGCGTGTCCTGGGCACTACCTGTGCCAGACATTGTGCCGGCTGGGGACGCACAAGTACAGGTCAGCAACATGAAAATTTGGGAGCCCAAGCAATGTGTCAAAGTGCTGTACGCACCACACGACTGCCAAGGGGGCATGAGGAGGGGACATTTGAGTGGGGCCTTGAAGGTTCAGTAGGAGTTTGCCCGGCACACTCTTATCCAGATATACTCTAAGGACAAGAGTCTACTTCCTGCTCTTTCACTACCAAGCAGGCTTCCGAGGAACTCCTCACTTTTCTCAACACTCTGAGTATGAGCACGTGGTGTGGACACAGCTCCCGTGAGTGTAGAACACATACCTCTCACATCCCCTCAGCCTGCCAGTAAAGAGTCCTGGGTACACACGTTCAGTGTCAAAACACCAAGGTGAGTCCACAGACTGCCAACCCTATCGGGTCAAACCAGATGACAGCCTGGGCGGAAGGCCCATTTCAACAGCCATCAGGCAGATTTTCGGCTCCGGGGTGCAGTCTTTCTGATCTGATGTTTGGAAGCAGCGCTCTACTGCAGTTTTGCCTGGAGAATCTGGGAGCTTTAATAGGGGGTGGGTGCAAAGTGCAAATAACTGGAAGGATGTTGACGCCAAGGTGACCTCAGGAACGCAACTGTGTTCTTCATAGCTAAGCTGCAGAGAGCCAGGACTCACCGAGGACCTTAGTGCTGCTAACATGTGCGGCTGAGCCACACACCAGACCCTCTGCCTCACCAAGAGGCCCAAACCGAGCGTCACTGTGAGGGTAGGCCCTCCAGCCACTGTCTGGGTTTGACTCCTGGCTCCATCACTTACCAGCAGGCGCTCAGCCTCCCTATACCTCAGTGTCCTTATCTATAAAGTGGGGATGATGGTTAGTAACTAACCTGAGGAATTAAATGAATTGAGATCTGCAAAGCCTTAGAACAGTGCCTGGTCTGCAGTGAGCACCACGTACGTGTTGACTAAACAAATAAAAATGCCCCACTTTCAAACCTGTATCTCTGCTGCTTCTCAAACCATCTTTTTCCTATTTTGAGTTTACTGAGGCTCCTCGTTTGTAAAACCAGTCACAGCAAAATAGTCTCAAAACAGGCAAGAGGCTGAAGACAAGTCCACCAGGTCCTGGCAAGTCATCATGAATCCCTGGGGGAAATAAGAGGCTCCTGGAAACCAAATACTACTGCCCACGATCCCACGAATTCTAGATTAGAAAGAAAGTCATGTAGCTACCAAAGACACTGAGAAAATCGAAGCAAGAATGACTAACATCCACTTTCTTCTGAGCCTGTCTTATAAAGAGAAATAGTAGAAAATTTAAAACCTCAATTTCAAAATTCAAGGCTTCTGATAAAGATGTCCCCAAACCCACCTGAAGGTTATCTCTAGAAAACCACAAAGCCAAACTTGCAGAAGGCGGGCAAGGCTGTAAAGCGAATCTGTAAAGTCTGTTAGGTGAGGAGGCTGGTCAGGTGTCACGCTCACCAGCAGGTCGCCCCGAAGTGTGGCACGCTCCTTAGAGAGCTGCGGAGCTGCTGGAACGGCGTACCATACTCTGGATGCGCCCCTTTGTGCCTCGGAGTGCCAGCACCAGAGTAAGGCGACAGGCGTGGCCGGCTGCTGGCCCTTCGCCCCGTGCCCCCTCCACCAGTCAAGCTTCGCGCAGGGACCGGGGCCGCCCACCGCGCTGCGCCACCTCTTACGCCAGCCAGGTCGGTCCCCTTTGCGCGCGGGGCGGCCTGCGGACACCACCTTGCGGGCGCCGAGTCCCGCCGCCCTGCGCCCCTGCCCACGGCTCCTGGTCCCAAAGGCGACGAGTCACCACTGTGCCCGGCGCGGCCCAGGATTGTTCCCGACTTGGCTTCGCGGACACCACCTCTCCGACACCACCCCGCGGGTAGCATCCCTCGGACACCACCCCGCGTGCTCCCCGTTCCGCCACCCTGCGCCCCTGTCCCCGAAGGCGGCGGGTCCCCACTGCGCCTGGCGCGGCCCAGCGTTGTTCCCGGCTCGGCTCCGCGGACACCACCCCGCTGAGAGCCCTGCGCCCCAGCCCGCAGCCCCGCGCGCCCCCACTCCAGTTGGCGCAGGCTGGCCGCGGAGCGCGCGAGGGGCCCCGGCGGGGTCGCGGCGGTCGGCTGCGCCCCGGCTTTGTTCGCGCCCCGCGCCCACCGGCTGCCCGCGCTCCGACCCCGCGCCTGCACGCACCCCGCGTCACCCTGGCCCGAGGCCCCCAGCCCACCTTCTGGATGGTTTGCTGTGTGACCTCCCCTTTGCCTCTCGGCCGGGCGGACGCGAAGGCCACCGACATAGTCGCGGGCACGAGATCAGCCCGAGATCATCAGGGTTTATTCTCCGGCTGCGCTCCGCGGCCCGAGGCGCTCATTCTCCGCAGTCGCCGGGGGCGGGGGGCGCGGGGGGCGCCGCGCC